TCCTCCTCCTCCTCCTCCTCCTCATCCTCCTCGTCCCCCTCCTTCTCCGCACAAGGGGCGACGAGGCTCAGAAGGGCCTCGCCCCCCGCGGCTGTTTTGCTCGAGGCACCGTCGCGGGTTCCCGCAGGGCGGCCCCAGGACCGCTGCGCCCCCTCCTCGGCGCGGCTCGGGGGCGGCCAAGAGGGGCTTGGCATCGCTCGGACGTGTGCGCTTTTCTCTGCGAGGCCAGCGCCCGAAAAACTGGACCGTCCAGGAGCACCTTGGATCATCCGGCGATAGGAGAGCAAAAAAAGCGCGCGAAACCGAAGACGGCACGGGGAATGGACGTCCGAGCGATGGCAAGGGGGGTGACGCTTGGGGGGGTGAGTAGCATCATGACCAGGGTCATGAGATCTCTCCGGAGTTCATGGCCCCCTCTTCTTCACCTTTCCAGCACGTCCCTTGCCGCCCGCAGGCCTCCCCCTCGTCCGCGCACGTGCCTCGGACCACGATTCGCGAAACCCCTTCTTGGGATGCCCTCCTCTGGTCGGCTGCACGTCAGAGTGACCTTTCGCCGGAGTGACCTCCGGCGCGGGCACACTGGTGCCCCTGGGTGGCCGGGGGGCGGTGCGACAGCAGCGGCCTGCGCGCCCGGGGGACTCCCCGCGCCCCCGCCAGCCGCGCACCGAAGGTCCCTCTTGCCTGGGGTCACTCTTGCGTGCACGGTGGGTCCGATCACAATCCGCTACAACGGCACCACCGTTTATGGGACGCACAGAGACATACTAATACTATACGTCCTCCTTGGAGGCGCGCGTCCGACCCGAACATCTAGTGCACCCATTTTGTAGTATATCGTTTCCCGAACGGTGTGGCCAGAAAGCGCCCGCAACGACGCATATACTGTAAGATTTCTCGGTGCGCGCTTCGCCCCTGGGGGGGCGACGCACATACAGTGTAAGTATGTTGGGGTGACGCCGAGTTTAGTCAGCTCTCTGCCAGCGCAGTTACTTTGCCCAGCCGCCGACGCAAAAAGTGCACGGTGGGCTCGTGTCGTGTCGACTGGCGGCGACCCCGTCCCCGGCGCTCAACGCCGAACGCCGCCGGCGACCAAGCATCTGTCGATGGTGAACGATCCGACGTCCCCAGACGTCCCTGACCTCTCGACCGCTTCCCCGGGAAAGCTTTTGCGTCCCGAGTCGTCCTTGGACGGTCCCGAGGCCCTGTAGCCCCAAGAGGCCGAAAACGAACCTCCGTTACGCGACAAGCCCGGAGGGGAAATGAGAAGGAGAAGACCTTCACAGAAGGCTCGGAAATCCCGACGCCTTGTGGGAAGTTTCCTAAGCCCTCCGCGAAGGCACAGAAACTCCCCAGAAGGCGCGAGGGTTTCTGAGAAGCCCCGCCGCCCTCATGAAAAGGCCTCCTCCTTCTCACTTCCCCCCCTCGCTCGCCGCCGATCCGTCTCCATTTGTTCGTGACGCCCTGGGTGTGACCCGTCCCCCTGAGCGGCCCCTCTCCTCCCCTCCTCCTTCGACCGCCCGCCCTGCAACCCTTTTCCAGCCTCTGGCACTGTGGCACACTTCGCTACCACGGTGCCCCCGTTTCGTTAGCTCTTCCGCCAGCGCAGTTACTCTGCCTAGCCGCCGACGCAAAAAAAACACAAACAATCAAAACAAAACAAAACAAAAATCGAGACGCCCGACGTCTGGGCCTCGGAAGCGGCCGATCGTTCCAGGTGGAGCGCCCCCCGCGGCGCCAGAGGCGCCAGCGACGAGCTCGGGGTGCGGCTCGGGCCTGCCGCAGCCCGAGCTCGGGACGCCCCCGCGCGGGGGGGCCCGCGGCGCGCTTCTCGCCGCGGCGAACCTCGAGAGCCGACACTGCGAATCAGCCGGGCGCAGAGGGGGGTTAGGGTCAGGTCGGGCTACAAGGGGAATGCTCGAAAATAGTACAAAAATAGTCTGGGGACGGTTTGTTTAAACTATGCTTGAGCATTGTTCGATGTATTTTTTGATTACTCTTGATTTTTCGCCCAAAATCCGCCTGTAGGGGGACACGCCCGACCTAACAGTAGGGGGGCGGGGAGGCTTCTTAGAAGCAGCCCTGCTTCTTAGGAAGGCGCGGGCCTTGTCTGTAGATGTGAGGCCGGCGCCTTCTACGAAGCAGCCTCTTCTTCTAAGAAGCCTCCCCCTTGCCCCTACCCCCCTGTGCACGCCGCCGAGCGGAAGAAAGTTGCAGCACCGTGGAAAAAGCTCGACCGGAGCCCTGGACGGCCAGGGCAGGAGGGGGCCCTCGGAGGCCCCTCGGGAGCCTCTCGGAGCCCTCTCGCGGGGGCCTCCCAGAGCCCTCCTGGGGACCCGAGCTGGAGCCCTCTCGGGGGGAACTGGGAACTGGAGCCGGGGGAGAGAGGGGGCGGGCCTTCTCAGAAGGCCCGGATATCTCCGGCCTTCTGGGAAGTGTTCCCAGCCTTCATTTCCCGAAGACACAGAGAGCGTCTCAGAAGGCCAAGGGCCTTCTGAGAAGCCCAGCCGCCTCCTGAGAAGGCCTCCTCCTCCTCACTTCCCCCCCTCGCTCGCCGCCGAGATCTGTGATGGTCCCAGGGCCCGAAACCCAGCGAGAAAACGCCGCGCCCGGATCTCAGGGGCGATGCGGTCGATGAGGGGGCAGCGAGGGCTGCAGAAAAGGGGCCATTCGGGGCCGCCAAAAAGGGCCATTTGGGGCCCAAACGGGGGCCCCTGGGCCCCCAAAAAGTGCACTCCTCTTCCCTCCCCCATTTACTGATCGCCCCCCCTCACAAGGCGACGCCCAGTCTTGGGTTTTGATGTTCCAACCTCCTTTGGCTTTGATCACCAGAAAGAATTTCGAGCACCAGGAAAGCACCGAAACTGGAGGACTTTCACGTGTCGGGCCCTGGGAGGCGATACTCGTTCGACACTGCTTCGATCCTTGTCTGGGTGCTCGAATTTACTTGTGGGATGCAGTCCTTAAGCACGATGGGAGCAACAGAAGTCTTGGCATACGAACTGGAGACGCGTGCAAACTGCGCCACTGTGACCGTCGGTGGAGCTCCCTATGGGGCCACGAAGCGCTGCACTGGGCGGGGGAGACGCACGGACGCCCCCCTCGTGGACGCCCCCGAGCAGGGCCTCTGGCGGCACACACACCCGCCGCGGCGCCCCGGCGCCGCGCGAGGCCGCCGCCGAGGGGCCGAGCGCCCGCGGCCGCGCGCGGTGCCTGGTGCGCATCCAGCGCGCCGCCCGGCCTGCCGGGAGGCCTGCCCGGCTCAGAGGAGGAACGAGCACCGATGCCTCCCCAGACATGGTCGCGTCGTGAAGAAAAATCGGGACGGGGGGGGGTGGGCCAATTTCGGCCTCGGGGGGCCCTCTCCGGGCCGCGGGACCGTCAGAAAACGACTCAAAAGGAAAAACCGGCCCTGGGGAGAGGGTCTGGACTTTCGGAGACGCCGTCCTGAAAAAATCAGGACGTTGCATGTCTGGGTCGAAGAAGATAAGAGGCACATAAACATAAATTCTTGGATCCGCGCTGGGCCCCCCCGGCGGCGCCTCCGGCGCCGTCCCTGGCGCGCGGAGCGCGCCAGGGTGGTCCAGCGCAGATCCAAAAGATCCGCGCGGACCGTCGAAAGATTATGTTTACATGTGTTTTGTTATTCCTCTATCGGAGACCCTAGTCGCCACGGCTGGGTTCGCCTCGACATTCTGGTCAGGACGCACCCCGAGGAGCGTCCCTGGGAGCAGCGGTGCCAGTACTTTAGGCCCAGATGAGGTCCGAGTGCATGGGGTCGAAGGATCGCGCAGGATCGCCGATGCCTCGGCGATGCGGCTCGATGTGGAGCCCGAGCTTCTCCACGTCGACATCGCGAAGGCGCGCGATCTCCCGACTCCATGCACTCGGACCCCATGCAGGAGGCCTCTGTAGTGATGGGCCGATTTCCCAACACCACTACCATAAGTAGGAGGAGGAGGAGGAGGAGGAGGAGGAGGACCTCCCCGCCCTCCCTTCTCCCCCCTGCTACCTATGGTAGTGGTGGTGGAAAAATGGCCCATCATGCAGGCATGGACGACGCGGGGGGCCCGCAGGGGCCCGCGGCGGGCCAGCCACGGCCAGGCAGCCACGGCCCGGGCTTCTTCGCGCAGGACGCGGCGTGCGCCCTGCGGGCGCGCGCGGAGTGGGAGGCCCAGCTCGGCAAGGGCGCGGTGCTCTGCTCCGACGAGCTCTCAGACTCCGACGCGAGCTCCGAGTGGGACGGCGGCAGCGGCCCCGACGAGGAGGAGGCCGAGAGGAAGAGCAGCGTCAGCTCCACGGCCACCAGCCGGAAAGGAGGGGCGACGAAGGACGACCATGGTCTCATCGAGACCGAGCCCGTGGAGTTCGGCGCCGCCCGCGAGCGCTTCGCGGAGGCCTGCAGCGCAGCACAGGGCGGCCCTGGTGGTGCCTCTGGGCAGAAGGCGCTGCCCAGCCGCCTGCAGCGTGTGCGCGGAGAGGTGGGTGCCCTCCTGGCCTGGGCCGAGGGCGCAAAGAAGGACGCGGCCTCGGCCGCTCAGCTGCCTGGCGCCCGCGGGCCCACCGCGCCCACTCCGGGCCCCTCCTCGGAGGAGGTGCGGGCCCTGGCGGGCCTGCTCCGGGGCGCGGCCTCGGACAGCGGCAGCAGTGCCCGCGTGTGGCTGCCGCCGCCGGAGCCCGGCCAGGACCTGGCCCCCGCCCGCCAGCTTCTGGAGCTCGGCCGGCTCCCCGGCGGCCAGCCGCAGGCCGCTCTCAGCAGCGGCGCCGGGGCAGGCGAGTCCCCGGGCGGCTACCGCCTCACGCTGAGCACCGCAGGGGCGGGCGCTGCCGGCTGGAGGGCGGCGGCCGAGGCGGAGGCGCTGCGCTCGCTCGAGGATCGGATGCGCAAGCTGCACGGCATGCTGGACCCGGGCAGCAAGGGCGCCGCGGATGGGTCCACCGTTAGCCTGGCCGAGTCGGCGCGCCAGCTGCACAGGCGCCTGGAGACGCTGGAGCAGGTCGGCCACGAAGACCTCCGTGGGCGGCTGCAGACCTCCGTGCAGCTCCTCTCTGCCGAGATCAGCGCCGCCGTCGCCGAGGCCGAGCGCGCGCGCCAGCTCGAGGCCGAGGATTGAAGACGAAACAACGCCATAAACATAAGCTTTTCGCGCTCCGCGCGGATTTCTTGGATCGGCGCCTGGGCTCCCCTGGCGGCGCCAGAGGCGCCGCCACTGGCGCGCTCCGCGCGCCAGGGAGGGGAGTCCGGCGCGGATCCAAAAGATCCGCGCGGACCGTCGAAAGTTCATGTTTTCAGTCGACCCGCATAGCAAGGATGGGCAATATTCCCAAGGGTACACTTGCGTCCTTGCCTCCTCAGTCCATCCTTAGCAACTTTCGTTGGCTGCGCCCCGCTCGAAAAGCTTCGAAATGAGCGTCCAAGGCCCTTGCACCCTTACAGTCAACGCGCCTAGTAAGGACGCGTGCCCTAATCTAGGGTACCCTTGTGCCCTTGCCTCTGCGACCCGTCCTTTGCCGTCTTCACGGGTCGCCCGTCGCCCAAGAAATCCCCACTTCGGCCTCCAAGGGTCTTGCGTCCTTACCAGCCGTCCATAATACACGTTTTGACTGCATCGCGCATCCTTCTGATACGGGCCGACTGCACAGTGGGGCCCATGCCAAGAAACACCTTGCTTGCCTCCAGGATGCCCTGGGTTTCTTGGGTTTCGACGGTCTTGCTGTGGAAGGCGCGACGCTCCCACACCAAAAATCAAGGGACGTCCTGGGTTTTCAGGGTTTTCTTGGGGAAGGTTTCTTGGGGACTGGTCTCTACCGATCCCACTGCCATTCCCTCGTTTTCCCCTCTCCTGGAGGGAGCTCGTCGCCACGGCTGGGTTCGCCTCGACATTCTGGTCAGGACGCACCCCGAGGAGCGTCCCGGGAGCAGCGGCACTGGCACTCTAGGCCTCCCAGATGAGGTCCGAGTGCATGAGGTCGAAGGATCGCGCAGGATCGCCAGTACCTCGGCGATGCGGCTCGATGTGGAGCCCGAGCTTCTCCACGCCGGCATCGCGAAGGCGCGCGATCTTCCGACCCCATTGTGCTCGGACCCCATTCAAGAGTTCTTGGATTAGCTCAGGGAGGGAAACGTCGACACTGAAACGGCTATGCATCGCCGATAGGTCGGCGACGTCCTGAGGTCTCCGGGTTGGGTTTCTTGTGGAAGGCTTCTTGTGGACGGGCCTCCACTGCATGCCGTTTCTTCTTCCTCTCGAGGAGCACGCGGCCGACCTCGCCGTCGCCATCCCCGGCGGCGAGGCGCCGGAGGCCGCGGCACCGCAGATCGAGCGGCTGCATGCGCAGGTCTCGGGCCTGGGCCCCGCGGCGGCGCGGGCGGCGGAGGTGGCCCGCCAGCTGCAGGATCAAGTCGGGCAGGTCCCTCCACAGGAGGAAGGTTTTTGAATTCGAAAAACTTGTTTTTGAATTCAAAAAACTGGTTGTTGAGTTCAAAAACTGGTTTCTGAATTCAAGAAACTGGTTCAAACTAATATTTTTGAATTCAAAAACGCGCCTAGTAAGGACGCGTGCCCTAATCTAGGGTACCCTTGTGCCCTTGCCTCTGCGACCCGTCCTTTGCCGTCTTCACGGGTCGCCCGTCGCCCAAGAAATCCCCACTTCGGCCTCCAAGGGTCTTGCGTCCTTACCAGCCGTCCTCAATACACGTTTTGACTGCATCGCGCATCCTTCTGATACGGGCCGATTGTACAGTGGGGGCCCATGCCAGGAAACACCTTGCTTGCCTCCAATGGTTTTGCCATGGAAGGCGTGACGTTCCCACGCCAAAAATCGATGGACGTCCTGGGAGCTCAGGGTTGGGTTTCTTGTGGAAGGTTCCTTGTGGTCGGGCACCCATTGTGTCCAAAAGCAGTCAAGCAATAGTATGAGAACGATGTTTCTATTATTCTGTGTCTATGTTTGCATGTCGTTTGGCTATTGTCAATTTGTCTTCCAGAATCCGCCTGCAGGGGGACATGCCCGACCTAACTGCAGGATCAGGAGCTCGCCTCCTCGCAGCTGCTCCAGTTCGCGCGCGACCTCGGCAACGCTGAGGATCGCGTCCGCCAGGCGAGCGACGCAGAACGTCGACGTAGAAAAAACACCATACACATAAACTTTCGGCGCTCCGCACGGATTTCTTGGATCCGCGTTGGGCCCCCCCTGGCGGCGCCTCCGGCGCCGCCCCTGGCCCACTCCGCGCGCCAGGTTGTGCCGTTTTTCTTCTTCCAGAGAGGCGGGTTCGATTGCGCCGACATTCCCGCGCAAGTTGCCCGCGTCAGGTGGCGCGTAAGCGCCCTTCTCCAACGCAGCATGCCGCACTGGTGGCCTGCGTAAGCCGCCGCGTACTGTCGCTATATATCATCGCGAGTAAGACCCTCTGGTTTTCGTCGCTCAGGTGCGGGAGGTGCTGACGGAGGTGTCAGACACCGCGCAGAAGATGTCGGAGAGCGCCGCCCAGAGCCGCAAGCAGCTGATCGAGAACATCAAGGTCCTGACCAGGAAGCTTCCGCAGAGGGGCGCACTGGATCTCTCGGGAAGATGACGTCAAGCACACCGAGGAGCGCCTCTTCCCCGTCGTCTTCGGGGAGGAGTGAGAGGGGAAGGGGCAGCTCGAGGGGCGGATTGTACGGAAGCGATCTCGACAGTGAAACTTTCGAGAAGGCATGCGAAAGCCACTGCAACGGCAGCCGATCCGTTCCAAAAGGTATCATGGATGTGTTTCCGTTCGTGTGCACTTCCGTACGTGGGCGTGGACACGTGCGATCTTGCACATGTACGCATGCACGTGCGCATGTGTGTACAGCCAGGTCTGTGGTCGAGGAATGCGCTCTTCGTGGAGGGGAGAGCTTGGAATTCCCTCGACGTGATGAGGTGGCCAAATGGATCCAGGTAGCATCCGTCTTCAGGGTTCGAGAATACGCATACATTGTAACGTAGTTGTTGGTCCTAGCCGATACCCGACTTCAGCGAGCGATGCAGTCTCGTGTTGGTGTGTATTCTCTCGAGCATGGTCATGTACTTTTTAAGGGTTTGAGCTGCACATAGGCCAGGGTGGCATCGCCATCACCATAACATGATTCGATTCCGGATCAAGCGCCTCAGGGATTCTCGCGCGTTTGCTATCCTGTGCTGACGTCCAGCCAGCTTGCAGCCTCGACTCCCGAAACGTTCAGGGGATGATGCTTCGCCAGGCAGTCCGTGTCGCAGCTCGCGGTGCCCACGTGACCATGCCGCGCGCCCCACTCGCCGTGACGGCCCCCGTTCGTGCCTTCGGCGCCGTGACGAAGCACGAGGGCGAGACTGCCGTGGCGCGCCCCTTCAAAGGCGCGTCCTATTCTGAGCCCGACATGGAGTACGTCGAGGAGCCCTCGATGCTGTACATGTTCTGCTTGCAGGCGTTCCCGTGGATGATCAGCGGCTGGGTCTTCACCAAGTGGTGCTGAGAAAGCTGAGAGGGCATTGGTGGAACTCCGTGAGGCAGACAGGGAGGCAGGGAGGGCGTGGCAGGAGGGGAGAGGGAGCGTTTGCGGCGCACGGTCCAGCGCGTATGTTTGACTGTCGACACCCTCACAAGACGCAGCTCAGGAAACGAAGAAGAAATCTGAGCTTCAGTACAGCATCGCTCGTTCAACGAGTTGTTTGATATTGCCTCGCCTTTCCCGTTTCGGAGCTGGCACTATTGTCGACTGTTTTCTCTCATTACGCGCCTGGCGGTGACGACCACGACGACGACGACGACGACGACGACGACGACTACGACGACGACGAAGGCGCGCCACCTCTCGAACAGTTGGCATGGGCCAGTGAGAAACTCGTGCCAATGGTTTCAACTGAACCATTGTTGCATTAGTCAAAGTACGGAGCAAACCAGAAGAGTCCGACCGTGCTGGTATTGCTCCTCGTGCCGCTCCCCGCATAATCTTTCGTACTTGTCAAAGCCATAGAGTCAAGCGCCGAACCCAATCGCACTGCATGATACTGCGTAAGATGGATTCGTGGGAGGGGTATATTATGGGTAAATCATGTCAAACAGGTATCGTTTCCCCATTCGGTAACCAATGGCTGCTTGATGGAGAAGCGATAGTTCATGCAAATATGCCGCAGCCGCAGCCTCGAGATCAGCGTCATAAGACAGATGTCTGCGGCAACCCCCGCCACCGTGCCAATGCAACATCGACAGGCATGCGGGATGTTTCCACCCATTTCTCCCGACTGGCTGGATAGAGCCACCCCGTTGCGCTCGGAAAGCACTGCTGCGATGCCGTAGCGTGGGGTGGCAGTAACGTTGCTTTGTTGTTACGTTGCCTTTTGGGGGGGGGGCTTTATTCGGGGTCAATTAGGGCCTTTCTGGGGCCCCTTGCTGTCCAAATTTGTCGAATGCACGTCGCCCTTCCCTCCTTCACCGATCCAGTGTCATCGCGTCCAGCTTACCTCTCTTTTCCCCAACCTGCGAGTTTAGAGAGGTGGGCGCTTATTCCCCAAAAAACAAGTGGCACGCGTGCCCTGGCTCTTGCACAAAGGTGTCCGAAGCTCAGGGGGGCTGCCCTGGGAAGCCTGGGCGGGGGGGGCAGAGGGGGGGGGGCAGGGGGGCGAGCGACACGACACGACACGACACGAAAACAAAAGTGTCCGAGGCCCAGGGGGGCTGCCCTGGGGAGCCTGGGCGGGGGGGTGCAGGGGGGGGGGGGGGGGCAGGGGGCGAACGACACGACACGACACGACACGAAAATAAAGATGTCCGAGCTCTAGAGCACAGCTGTGCAAGAGAATAAAAGGTTCCGTGGCCCAGGGTCGCTGCCCTGGGAAGCCTGGACGGGCTGCTCTGGGAAGGCTGGACTGGATGGGAAGCAGGGGGGGGTGCGGGCCTGGACTGGATGGGAGGCAGGGGGGGGTGCGGGCCAGGGCCAGGGGGACGACCAGGGCCAGGGGGACGAACGACACGAACGACGAACGACACGAAAATAAAGGGTTCCGTGGCCTAGGGGGGCTGCCCTGGGAAGCCTGGACGGGCTGCCCTGGGATGCCTGGACGCGGGGCAGGGGGGGGTGAGGGCCAGGGCCAGGGGGCGACCAGGGCCAGGGGGACGAACGACACGAACGACGAACGACACGAAAATAAAGGGTTCCGTGGCCCAGGGGGGCTGCCCTGGCAAGCCTGGACGGGCTGCCCTGGGGGGCGAACGACACGAACGACGAACGACACGAAAATAAAGATGTCCGAGCTCTAGAGCACAGCTGTGCAAGAGAATAAAGATGTCCGAGCTCTAGAGCACAGCTGTGCAAGATAATAATTGCACTTAGGGCCTCTTACTTCTCTTCTAAGGAACTGGGCCTGTCTGCCGCTCTGGCGGCTATGTGGCCGCCGTCGCCACCCCGTCGCCGCCTCGTCGCCGCGTCGCAGAATTTGTTCAACAGAAAAGATTTGGATCGCCCCCCACACCCAGGAATTATTACGCCGGCCTCGCGTATTGCAATTTGCATATGATTCTTGCCCATCGTTCATCTGACACATGAATTTAGACATTTCCATCCACGTCGGGCTCCCCCCCATCATCCCTGCAGATCATATTATGCGCACAGGTGTTTGTCAAAACCATCTAGTTACATGATCCCTTGCAACATATTAGACATAGTCTACACGCGCGCGTCGTCGCGCGCGTGTGCCGAAATTCTCCAACAACTGTAAGTTTCGTAAGGATTTCAAAACCGAAGGCCCTGAAACCATATTTGAAATACAAGACCAATGGTTTTACGACATGGTTTGTCAAAAAGTCTGCGCGCACGCTCCTGTGGATTCTTGACGTTTGGCGTATCCCCACCAGCAGGCCGCCGCTTAGTTAGTTGCGCCCTTGAACGCCGCCCGACTGCTTTCGGCGCGGTCGCGATCAAAAAGTATCCCCACCAGCCCCGTAGCCCTCTGGCTCAAACCGTCTGGGCTCGAGCACGCCTGTGCCCCAGGTGCGCGCCCCGGACCGTGGGATGGAGGCCACCGTGACGCGGCGGCGGCAGCGGCGAGCTGCGGCCGCCTGCGCCGCCCGCGCCGCTGGTGCCGCGGCGCCCCCTGGCCCGCCGCCGTCTGGCGCCGGACCGGCGGGCTTCCTGCCGCCCGCCGGCGCCCCCGCTGAGGCCGGCGCCGCCGCCGTTGCCCTCACTGGAGCTGCCCATCGGCGGCGCCAGCGGCTGGTCGCCGCCGCTCGCGCTAGGCCGCCGGGCTTGGCGGCCTTGGCCCACGGGCGGGCCGGCGGCGGCGTGCTCCCGGGGGCCGCCGTTGCTGCCTGCCCGCTGGCGGCTGCTGGCGGCGGCACGGTGGCGTCGCCGCGGCTGTCCCGGCCGCCAGCGGCCCCTGCCCCCGCTGCCGTTGCTGCCGTCATTGCGGTTTCTTGCCCCCCGTCGGCGGCGGCGGTGCGCGTGGGTGGGCTGCGGCCCCCTGGCTCTCGCCTTATGGCGGCCGCCGCCGCTGCAGCCGCGGCAGCCGAGGCGGCCGCGGCAGCCGCGGCCGCCGCTGCCGCGGCCGCCTTGCGTGGGCGGCCCGCGGTGGCCGCCGCGGCCGGCGCTGCGGCTGCTGCGACCCTCGTCGCCCCCGGCGAGAGCTTCACCCCGGTCGCCGCTGCCGCCGCCGCCGTCGCCACCGCTGCTGCCGCCGCCGGCTCCCAACCGGCGGCGGCGGCGGCGGGCGGCGCCGTGGCCGGCGCCCCAGCGGCCGTCGGCCCCCCGCTGCGCGAAGCCGAGGGCAGCTGATCGTGCTCATTGTGACCACCCTGGGGAAGCGGCGGTTCCGCCGTCACAGACACGAGACGACGGTCGAGCACTGGAGTTGGCAACTCATCGCAGAATAGAAATCACTGCACAACACAGATCGCACCACACATATTCTCTTTTCTGAGAAGAAGTCAGCCCCCCCCCCCAGTTTTATCCGCTCGTCGGTCTGACGATGTGCAACTTATATATGATGTTATTACCCCGTCGTCGTTTCTACATGTAATATCATGCGATCCCAGCTGAGCTGGCCATCCCCCCCCCATCCCTTGCAGAAAGAACCTCATGCACACGCTCGTGCATCAGAAACCATTAGTTGGCACAAGCCCCTTTTGCGAAAAACGGGACGATGTGCACACGCGCGCGTCGTCGCACGCATGCCAAAATCTCTCCAAAACCGTAGTTCTCGCAATGATTTCACATTATATGGTGTGTGTCGAAACACACACACACATACACACACACTCTCTCTCTCACACACACGCGTGTCTATAGATACACACATACATAAATGTATGCATGCATGCATGCATACATACATACAAGCATGCATACCTATATGCATACACGTACAACTGCAATTACATTACACACACTTATGTGTATGTATATACATGGGCGTGCCACATTCACTGCCAAAACAAAGTGTTCGTTCTTGCGACTGCTTCCGGGAACCATCGTATTTTCAACATGTCCATCAAATGCGACCGAACGTGTCTCTCACGCGCGCACGTCGAAATCATCCGAACGCCCTGGCGCGCGTGCTGGGGGGGCAAATAATATCATGCGGGCCTCTCGCGCCCATCGGCCGCGCGCGCATGTCGAAATCCTTTGCACAACCTTGACCGACATGTGGGCACCATCATCGTCACCAGCGTGACCAGCATCGGAGCCGTCATAAGCCTTGCCGTCGTCAGCGTCATCGTCGTCACCAGCATCGCTACAATCATCATCGTGTCCTCATCGTGTCTGCCTCTGTCGACGTCGCCAAACCGCGC